TGTAAAGCAGGATTTTCTGGTTATATTTCCAACCCAGAACTTTCTAAAAGTTATGGTGTGGGAAATCCTACTATCTATGTGTTGCTTTTATTGGTTAATGAATAAAGCCATTTCTGTCAGTGGCTTAGCAGTATAGGGCAAGGTGGGAATACCAAGCAGAAGAAAAAGTAGGTGGAATCAAAGGGAAGTCATGTAGCAGCTGCAGGAGACAGATGCCTCCGCAGGAACCGACTGAAACAAAACTTTGCCAATAGGTCACCACCTCATGGTGATGCACTCACTAATGGAGATGGGTTAGTTTAGGATATAAGAGATAGGTAGAAATATACTTAAGCTATTGGCCAAAGAGTACTGCAAATAATATGGTTTCTGTGTGATTATTTAGTGTCTGAGCAGCTGGGAATAAACAAGCAGCCTCTGTCAACAGAGTTAAAATGCAGAAATTTAGCATCAGCAACAGGCAAATAATTCCCAAAAAATGACAATGTCTCCAGAAAAAAATCAAACCCAGAGTGTTGCCTATATGAAAGAGCAAATGAGGGAAGAGTGTGAAAATGAGTTGTGACACAGAACCTCAGGAGGGTTTCAAGTTTTTCTAACACACAATTAGACAAAGATTTACATCTTAAGGGAAGATTACAACAGAACACAGAGTAGTCTTAAAGTACTTGCAATGAAAGGCACAGAAAACAGTTCAACCATCGCTTTGTTTTACATTCCTTCCTAGGCTAGAGCTACAATGCATTATTTAATGCTATTTTTGAATAGTAATAAGGAAAGTGTTATAGCTAATTTGCATTGAACACCATTGAATACTAAGCATTGTGATAAATGTATTTCATAAACTATCCTACTTCTTACCTAACACTTCCCTCTCCATTTTTAAATTGTTCAGACATTTTGGTCTTCATCCCAAGTATTTATTCGTAAATGCAGATGTGATAGTTATTTAATGATATTGAATGCAACTTTAATTATAGGAATAAAATCACAAAAGTCACAGAGTTACATTTTCCATTTATAGTTGATAGTAAATCAACGAAAATCTCATGAAAAAACATAATTGATGCTTCTATTTTCAAAAAAATATTGAATCTAGATGAGACAAATTTGTGCACAGACACAGATAACATATTAGACTCAAGATTTCAGCCTTCCACTCCTCATTGGGACCTTGGGAGCTCAGTCCAGTGCTCCAGTGTGGGTCTCTGTCTCTATCTCCATCCATCACCAGATGAAAGTTCTATGGTGATATGCAAGATATTCGTCAGTATTGCTCAAGGATAGGGTCATTTCAGGTTCCCTATCCTCATCTGCCCAAGGAACTAACTGGGGACATCGCCTTGGGCTCCTGGGAGCCACTCTAGGTTCAAGTCTCTTGCCAGTCCTAAGGTGGCTCCCTTAATTAAGAATTGTGCTTCCGTGCTCCCCTATCCAACCTTCCTTTATCCCAATCATCCTGTTTCCCCAAGTTCCCCCCATCCTCCCCTTCTCCCTTTTCTCTCCCCATCTCCCCTTACCCCCAACCCACCCCACCTCCAAGATCCCACTTTCCTCCCCGGCAATTTTGTCTACTTCCCATAGGCAAGAGGATAACTATATGTTTTTCCTTGGGGTCACCTTCTTATTTAGCTTCTTTAGGTTCACCAATTGTAGACTCTGTGACCCTTATTTATGGCTAGAAACCAATTATGAGTGAGTACATCCCATGTTCATCTTTTTGGGTCTCGGTTACCTCACTCAGAATAGTGTTTTCTATTTCCATCCATTTGCATGCAAAATTCGAGAAGTCATTGATTTTTACCGCAGCATAGTACTCTAATGTGTAGATATTCCACACTTTCTTCATCCATTCTTCCATTGAAGGACATCTAGGTTGTTTCCAGGATCTGGCTATTACAAATAATACTGCTATGAACATAGTTGAACAAATGCTTTTGTCATATGATTGGGCATCTCTTGGGTATATTCCCAAGAGTGGTATGGCTGGGTCCAGGGGTAGGTTGATGCCGAATTTCCTGAGAAACCCAAACACTGATTTCCAAAGTGGTTGCACAAGATTGCATTCCCACCAGCAATGGATGAATGTACCCCTTCCTCCACAACCTCTCCAGCAAAGGCTATCATGGGTGTTGGTGCACCCACACACTGAGACAGTGGGGCTGATCTATTGGAAGCTCACCAAGGCCAGTTAGACTATGACTGAAAAAGCATGGGATAAAACCGGACTCTCTGAACATGGCGAACAATGAGGGATGATGAGAAGCCAAGGACAATGGCACAGGGTTTTGATCCTACTTCATGTTCTGGCTTTGTGGGAGCCTAGTCAGTTTGGATGTTCACCTTCCTAGACATGGATGGAGGGGGAAGGACCTTGGACTTTCCACAGGGCAGGGAACCCTGACTGCTCTTTGGACTGGAGAGGGAGGGGGAGAGGAGTGGGAGGAGGGGGAGAAGTGTGGGAGGAGGGGGAGGGAAATGGGAGGCTAGGAGGAGGGGGAAACTTTTTTTTTTCCTTTTCTCAATTAAAAAAAAAGAAAAAAGAAAATTGGGTTATGACTGGTAGAATATGGAGTGTTTGCCTAGCATACATAGCCCTGGGTACGATCCCAGCCTAACAGGGTAACATTCATATGTACAGAGAAATGGCTCGGTTCTGAGAGTCAGTTTATTTTGGTTTCTGTTGTTGCTGTTGCTTTTGAGTTTTCGAGACAGGGTTTCTCTATAGTTTTGGAGCCTGTCATGAAATTTGGTCTGTAGACCAGGCTGGCCTCGAGCTCTCTGGGGTCTGCCTCCCTCTGCCTCCTGAATGCTGGTATTAAAGGTGTGTGCCACCACCAAAAAAAAAAAAAAAAGATTTCAGCCTTGCTATTTTAACTTCAAATGGTTCATTCCTAGCCACTGTGCTATAGTCCCTACCTTAGAGCAAACTGGTTTACTATGGGGTTAAAGAAAGTTATGTGAGGCAGAGATAACCAAAATTAATAATTATGAAAACTTAGTATTGAAACATACTATATGGAAACTTACCATTTCAACAGCCTACTAAAAATATTCTTTTTTTTAAAAAGAAAAAGTAAGAAATAAATGATAATTTGAATGAAAGTATACTGCATGAGTGGATAATGCTGCCCTCAGAAGCCAACAATTATTAAACAAACACCCACTGGCAAATATGAGACACAGCTCTATGAGTTGTTGGTTAGGGAGGAGCCAGAGGCAGCCAAAAATATGGAGGCTCTTGCCACCGTTCTAGGTTGCCCACTAAAGTTTGACCTTAAGACCATGTTTATGAAAATACTATTTACTTTGGCTATGGGACACAGAAATACAAACCAAGCACCCTCTTTCTAACTAGAATTCATTGTGCTAGAAAGAGCAAGGCCAGCTGCTGGAAGAGAAGAGTCATCCAGAGTCTTAACAGATGTGGGCTTGGCATGCTGCAGTACTGATCTGACAGACAAGATAAACTTACTGGAAAAATAGTGGCATAGTTATTATGAGAATAACTAAATCTTTCTGATTGAATGTGAGTCACATTCCTCACTAGGTAATGCATTCCTGATCCTGTCAACCTGGGCAAATGCCATTGACGAGGGAACTCACAGGCCCTAGGATAAATATTAGTAAACTTGTTTTGCTCCTAGGATGCAATGTCAAAATGCATCCCAATTGTTTACATCTGTATCTATAGACAGTGCTGCTCCCAGAAACCCTAATTAAATTCACTGGCATTGTCATTCACACACACACACACCACATGCACACGCACTCTCGCGCACAAACACACACACACACACACACACACACACACACACACTCTAAGGTGTCGAGATTAGTTAGAAAAAAGAAGTACAGTTTCAGAAAGGAAACGAAGAACAATGAAAGTTAATCTAAGAAAAATAATTTCAATGCTTGTAATAATTTGTCAAATGGACAATACCATCACAACTCAAATAGAAAGTTTTTAGCATTCAACAAAACACTTCTTACATTGTAGCCTCACTACACATGTTGCGTACTCTTTCTCAGAGCACATTCCTGGATGCATGGACTGTGAACTACTCTTTCATCTCTAGCAAGGCACTTAACCTCTTGGATGCGTCTTCTTTTCCATTCTTCCCCAGTTCCAGTGAGTGTCCTGCGTTCATGAGTACTTTACTGACCAGACAAGGGCACCTTCTATGAGAAGGAAGTTTCATGAAACTTGAGAAGCCCTGGTGATATAAGTCCAAGGGGACTGATCTTAAGCTGTACTAACATGGTATAACATTTGAAATAAGTCCCTAAATATTTATCCTTGAAAAAAGTAGAATGGACAAAAATGTTTGAACATGAAAAAACACAAACAACAAAAACCTTACATTAATGAAGAATGACAGTGGAAATCAGAGGCACATATAAAGTTAAGAAAAATAATCCTGTTATGACTCCCATAGCAACTGTAACACAGTTGAATTTCACTTTTATGTTAAGTATGTTTAACTTGAATAGGAATACCAAATACTTTCTCTGAGCCAAAATGAGAATTATGGTCAACACAAAAACAATGATCCACAATATTCTAGCTTCCATCTAGTTCAAATATTATCCATAATGTTCATTAAAAATTTCACATCAAAAGTATATAGTTGTTTGCAGTGGTTTTAAGCTATGTTTTTCTAATTTTTGAGACGGAGTTATTTTAAATGAGAAAACAATCTTATTAACTTTTCTTAATTCAGAGGACACAACTTGATAATTTAGAAACATAGGATCATGATTCTGCTTGTAATTATATGAAAACATTTGCCCAAAGTGCAATTAATGAAAATACAATATGATTATATCCATTATCAAACTCAATTACTATTGATGTCGTCTGTAACTATGAAAATAAACACATGATTTAAGATCATGCTACTCTTAAAGCAGGATACATATTTAGTTTGTAGGACTTCTGTAGGTTGTATATCTTTCTCCAGTTCAGTAGAGAAGGTAAATGCAGGTAGAATACTTACTCCTGTTATGTAACGAGGTCTATACTGAATAGTTCCAAACAAACCAAGGATGACGATGATAATATGTACAAAATTTGCCAGGATAGGTGCCCACTGATATCCAAGGAAGTCAAATATTTGCCTCTCCAGCACACAAACCTAAAATAGCAAAAGAGGATGGAATAGGTCAGCACAAATGAGAAACATCACACGGTCAGAGATCAAAGGATCACTGTGACAGACATTATAATTAGCAAGTATAACTCTACTATAGTATGTGGCATTTTTAACAGTAAGAATAGAGTGTTCAGGCATATTGCAATGGAACACCATCTAAGTATCCACAGAGAGCCATTTGCCTTTCATAGATGAAAGATCTCATTTGCACAGTCACACATACACACACACGATATTGCTATATGCACTATCAATCATTTCAAGTCGTCAACCAGAAAATTCCCCATGCAAGGCTTGTTTGGTTTTCTTCAAATGTCACTCTGTAAATTGTATATTCACAAGGGAATTGATACAGAGGAAAAAGAAAGAAAGAAAAGAAAAGTCCATGAGCTACTGGGATTCTGGACAAAGATATACCACCAAACAAGCTACATGAGTCATATCTTCTTAGAGTGACTGACTCCCTACTTTAAAGAGAAGAACATCAGCAGATGAGAAAGGCCCTCTCAATCCTAACAGTGAATAGCTACAAGGCAAACAGAGTTTTATCATACAGGCAATGTAAAAGAAGGGCCAAAAAGGAAATAAGAATGTGAAAAAAAAAAAGAACATGCCCTCAGTGTTTTTAAAGCAAAACAATGTAATCTAATGCTCCCCAGTGTGTAATTAAAACATAAGTATTTTAATGAGTGAGAAGACACAAATAAAAATAGCAAAATTACAGTAACAAGTTGGCAGTAGCTCTGAAATTTCATTTTACCCTCAATAGAGAAATACGGATTGCTGGCAAATCCTTTATTAGACCTAACAAAACAGCCTACTGGATTTCTTGCCTGTCCTTTTGGTGGACTAATCATAAACTCACTCTTCAGAGAAAAACATTGCAAATTGTCTCAACATTCCACAATAGGGTCAAGGAAAACTCAGCCACGATTTTGAATGAAACGATAATTTTAAAGCCCTCCAACTTTCAAAAGGCAGCCAAAACATTTTGGTTGGATTTGGGGAACCTGTTCCTCATACTGGGTGACCTTGCCCAGTATTAAGATACAAGGGTAAGTGCATAGTACTACTGCAATTTGATATGCCATGTTTTGTTGCTATCCATGGGAGGCCTGCCATTTTCTGAATAGAAATGAAGAAGAGTAGACTTGGGGGCAGAGGGGAGGTAGGGGGAAGGAATGGGAGGAGAGGAGATGGAGGAAAACTGTGGTCTGGATGTAAAATGAGTAAACTAATTTGATTTAAATAATATCCTTCAAACTTATTAATATCCTTATGATTTAATGATATTTCTCATCAGTAAGAAACACCGAATTTCAACCCAGACAATCTATTCTTAAATACATACGGGACCAGTGAGATGGCCAAAAATAGAAAATACTTATTAGTGCAAGCCTGATGACGTGGGTTAGATCCATGCAAACAGTGGAAGGAGAAAACTATCTCCTAAGAATTGGCCTCTGACTTCCATATATGTGCAGTGGCTCCCGTGTGAAGCCATGTGTGTGTACACTAATATACCCTTCAATAATACACATTTTATAGTTTTTTTTAAAAAATTATAGCATAATTGCATTATTTCCACCTTCTCTTTTCTCTGCCCCACCCCTCCCATGTACTCTACTTGCTCTCTCTCAAATTCCTGGCCTCTTTTCCTGTGTGTGTGTTCCTAACTACATAAATACAACCTGTTTATTCCATATAAGGTTACCTATATGCATTTTTAAGTTTAAAAATTGTGCTTATGGCCTAGTTTGAAGACTTCTTTTTTTTAATAAATTAATTTATTTATTAAAGATTTCTGTCTCTTCCCCGCCACCGCTTCCTATTTTCCCCCCTCCCCCAATCAAGTCCTCCTCTCTTGTCTGCCCAAAGAGCGATCAGGGTTCCCTGCCCCATGGGAAGTCCAAGGATCACCCACCGCCATCCAGGTCTAGTAAGGTGAGAATCCAAACTGCTTAGGCTCCCACAAAGCCAGTATGTGCTGTAGGATCAAAAACCCACTTCTTGAATGGGCATGATCACACTTTAATTCTTTAGCTAAGTCACAGATTTCCTTTGGGGAACTTGAAAGAGAAAAGAGATTCCCAACAGCATAATTCCCCCATTTTCTAAAGCAAAGCTTGAACCATGCAATGACTGTAATTGTTACAATATGACCTAAACAGGTCATGTCACTGTCTCTTTGCAGGGATAGAGGTTGAAGAAGGAAAGAACAGAGAAGAGGAAAAGGAGGGAAAGGAGGAAGGCATTGGTGATGATGATGATGATGATGATGATGATGATGATGATGATGATGATGACAATGTAGTCTGTAGTCCCTTGCATATGCTAAATCCATTACGGCATGAGATAAAGCAATACAATATTCTGATTGACTAATGACCACAAAGGTTTGTAGATCTTGAACTTAGTAACTTCATAAACTAACAGTTTTTCAGGAAGCTGGAACATTCCTTTAGCTATTTCAGGTATTTAGCAAAATAAATAACATCTATTTCTGACACAGAATAATGCTGGATGTACCTTGAATGCCTGCATAAATAGTGCCATAGATTAAGTAGTTCTTCTGACAGAACGACTCTTAATAATGTATATGAAATCTCATTTCCACATTAAGCTTTCTTGTCTTTTGCTTATGAATAAATGGTAAACCGAAATGAAAGGCAAGATAAATTTGAACTCTATATGTTTTGAGCATCATGACTGTGGGGACACAGCAGGAGGAAAGCACAGAGGAAATCAGTCAAGCAGTGGGAACTTTCTGAACAAATGAACCAATTACATGAGAAGATCATACTGCTGTCATTAATTATAAAAACATGTAAACAGTAATGTGCTTACTAAGTTTGCAAGTCTAAAATGAATATTTAACAATATTTATAAGGTGCAAAATGACAGAACTAATAGCTTCTTCCTTATGAGATTATGAAGACAGAATAATCTTTTTTAATTTTTTTTTGGTTTTTCGAGACAGGGTTTTCTGTGGCTTTGGAGCCTGTCCTGGAACTAGCTCTGTAGACCAGGCTGGTCTCGAACTCACAGAGATCCGCCTGCCTCTCTGCCTCCCGAGTGCTGGGATTAAAGGCGTGCGCCACCACTGCCCGGAAAGACAGAATAATCTTATAAATGATGTTTTACACACACACACACACACACATACACACACACACACACAATCTTATAAGTGATGTTTTACACACACACACACAATCTTATAAATGATATTTTACACACACACACACACACATTCCATCTCTTCCTTTTCATTGCTCTATTGCTCATAATAAATCGCCATTCAGTGAGCTAAGATTGGTAACAAATTTTAGGCATAGTTCAGTTTTTCCTAAGATTTTCTTCTTTCAGGAAGAGTAATAATATCAGAGTAAGATATTTTCTAAACTCCTTCTGTGTTCTGGATACATATGTACTCCTCCTCAATTGTACAAATACAAGGATATACACATGATTGTCAGATTATGTAGGTTAAGTATTCAAAGTTGTATCATGTTTGATTATCCTGTGATCTATATATATATATATATATATATATATATATATATATATTGGAAGTCAAGTATCGTGTCTGTAATCCCAATGATGGGGAGGTGGAAGCAGGAAGACCCTGGGGCCTTGCTGGCCAACCCTCTAGGGAAATCATTAAGTTCCAGCCTCACCGAGAAAAAAATCACACACACAAAAATGATAGGAGAGTGATTGAGGAAGACATCAAACATTGACCTTTGGCCTACACACACATACACATACACACACGTTTCATATATCCTGCTGCGATGTTGTAGGCACTATACTGCTGATAGAAAATATGCTTTCACTACCTCTTTTATTTTGGAATAGTACAAAGAATCTTCAGGCATATTTTCACTTTGTGACATTATCTTATCTTTGGTGGAGGCAAAACTCTTGATTTGCTTTTTTTTTTGGTTTTATTTTATTTGTTGCCTCTTTTAATACATTCTTAGTGGTATTCTGGTTTGCCCATGGGGAGCTTTCCAATGTATTTTCCTGATTTACTTCAAATTATCTGATGTATAAGTTGAAGAAATTGAGCTAAAAAAATATACCACTCTTGTTTATTGCAATGCCTTATTTTCACATAAAACATTAAATGTACAAAGCTTTTGTCTTATATATGAATTTTGGTTCTTCCATTTACCTTCTACACAATAGTCCATTATAAGCAATAAAATGATTCCTTTAATTTCTTGGTCCACAAATTATTACTACTGTCTCAGAGTTTTTATTTTTTTAACAAAGTTGGGGATAATCTTTGATCACCAATGTGAATGATAATGTTAAAAGTTTTCCTTATTATACATTTGTCATTATATCCACCCATGGTATAAATCCCTATATTACTTGACATTTTCATTTTGTTCAAAAATTCAGCAACAAAATTAAAGAAGTATTATTTCTCATGTTTATATCTACAATGTGCCTAAAATGCAGTACTTCTTCGCCATGACACTGTAACAAAGATTTTTCTTGCCTCAGAATATAAATACAGCATCCTCTTCCTTTAATATTTTAATACTTTGGAGGAGCCAGGGGGCATGATTCTCTTTCTTTCAAAGGCCATCTGTACACTGTAGACTGCAGAGTTTTTCAACATAATAAAAATATAGAGGTCAAGACAAAGGCATAGACTTGCAGCATTTACGGATCCAGTTTTCTTATCACTTATTTACATAAATGGGCCTAAAATGTGGTTATGACTTCGTATACTCTTTTTCCTTGGGAAATATCCTTAGCTTTTCTATACTAGCACATTGTATATTAATAAACCTACCTAGTTGTACTTTATTAAGACATTTCGTTTCAATTTAAGTATTTAATTTGCTCCTACATTTTGGAAGTCACCACTGTGAATACAGAAAACAAACTTACATTAATATCTCTACAGGCTAAGGTGCCCCAAAGGATAGATGCACCCTGAGTTTGCATGTTAGATTCTCATG